GTCAGACATTATTGTTGCACTGTGTGCACTATGTATAGATAGATATATAGATAGTTAGCATATGTCATGATGTGGCATATTTAATTTTTTAATTTTTAATTTTTTTAAATTTTATTTCTCATTCGCATGCTCCCAGCTGTTTCAGGGCTTTTGGGGTGTATAACTTCAGCACCATGAATACACACACACCCACACCCACACACACACACACACACACATACACACATAAATGCACGCACACACATACCAGCAGTGCTAATAGTCCCAGAGTGGACCAGTTGCCAGTGAACTGAGAGGTGGTCTGATCAGTTTCGTTCAGTGATCTTAGTTTTAAGTTAGGATCAGGCCTCTAACACCACATCATTCAGTCATGCTTTTGAAAGGAAGGCCACAACAATGCAGCCCATCACATTTTAAAGGTGAGTCATGAAAACCAGACGAGTGTCACAGTTTTGCTCTGAAAAACCTTTTTAACAACCTCAGGTTTTTTTTTTTCCTTTTGGCAAACTATGTCGATCTGAAATGTTTGTTTTGTAAGATAAATATCTCCGTTCTTCACAGTTGCTTATTTTAAGATGAATGATTGAAAATACAGCATAAACGCAATGCTGTCGTCTTTTGCTTCTTTTTTTTAACCAGAAAATATCACTGATAAGAATAAAAAACAGACATACATATGGTTCTGTCTTCAGCTGTTTAGCTCTTGAGTTGCTATGTTTTAGTCTGAAAGTGTTTTAACTGTGTCATAATAAGGTAAGATAAGATAGAATATACTTCATTCTTATTGTATCTTATTTATTACAACACATTTAAAAGCACCTTAAGGGTAAGATAATTATCTTTTGTAACAGTAAAAAAAAGTTCTCATCTTGGATCATCCTTGTTGATCATGAGTGTGTTCACTGTCTGCTGACTCTGATTGTTTAAAGATGTTATGTGTCTGACTAATGACATCACTCATAATGGGTGTAAAATCAAAGTGAACCAAAATAAGAATTCTGCTGTTAAGTCTCTTTTTTACTTTTATCACCGAGGTGAGGCAGTAAAAGTAAATCCAAAATTATTATAAAAAGAGTGGAACATAAAACCTTAATGCAGCACAGGAGGAAAAGTTGACGTTTAGCTTTAATCACTTTTTGAAACAGACGTGCCAGAAAAACAAAAGGAGAGTGTTTTAGTATCCTGACAGTACATGTTGTGTATCGCTCTTGTTAAATGTCAGTTTTTAATTAACTCTTGTCAAGGAAACTAATGTGTGATGGTAAAACTTGCTTTATGTAGAAGTGCTACAGGCTACCTACGTATATGCCCTTATAAAAGCTGAGTCATTCATGTTTGTTAAAAGGGAAAGCGAGACAGAAAAGTGGAGAGAAAGGGGGAGAGAGCAAAAGGGATTAGGCTGTTGATTGGATATGGTTCCCAATTCAGCTCCCTGCCAGTGCCAATAAAAAAGAGGAGACACAATTGTAAAGGAGGGGGAAGAGAGGACAAGGGGGAGAGGGTGGAGGTGGCGGAGTTTGATTGTAACGGAGTCAAGGCCCCTAACAGGCTGTCAGATGCTGCTCACTTGTCGCACAGTCACTCCTTACACACACACAAACACGCTGCTGGTGCATTTGTGTTTGTGTGCGTGCGTGTGTGCCTGGTGATAAATCTTAATTACACAATGGAGTGCAGGCCATGTGCCATCTCATCATGCCATGTCAAATCTCATAAGCAGCACAAGAGAGCATGAGAGGAAGAGCGAGAGAGTGAGTGAGAAAATGTGAATACAATATCTATACAGGAAGGAAGGAAAAGCAGAGAGGGGAAGAGGAAAAGACGGGTGCGAGGGGAACTATATCTTTGTCTGGGTGAAGCTATTGTGGTCTCGTTCAAGGGTTCGCTTAGAGAACATAAAAGGCTTTTTGTGCTGCGTGACTGTTTGTGATTGTGCCATCAGCCCTGTCAATACTAATCAAATCCAAAAAAACGCTGCTGCTACTGCTGCTGCTGCTGCTGCCATCGAGCAGATCTACTTTGTCCCAGGATGAGCTGGCGGATGAATACATCGTTCTAGCATGTCAGGGAAAGAATGGGGCTGGGGGCGTTGTTGTGGCCCGCTGAGTCATCGTGGCCAGGGTGAGCTCTAAAAGCAGCCCCCCAGCCCCCCAGAGTAATGGTTAATCGTGGGAAGTCTGGTGTTAGGGTAAGTGTGCCTGTGTGTAGGCCGAGCCTGTTTGCGGCCAGTTGCAGTGGGTTTTGGCGTGCCGTGGTGTGACAGGGCCAGTCAGGCGGATGGGGCGTGTGTTGTTGTAGCCGTGGCGGTGGGGAAAGCCCTGTACAAGCAGCTCTCAGCTCTGCTGGCTGGGAGAAGAGCCGGGGCAACTCTCCCAGAATAAAAAAAGCAGAAAAAAGCACCATCCTTTTGTTTTCATGGCTGTTGTGTTCCCTCTGCTGTGGGGTTGGGAGTCTGGTCTGTGTGTCCTCCCGGTTGTCTGTGACTGTCCCGCTCTGACTTTCGGTCCTATTCTGGACCTCTGGTGTTGTGCTCCAACGCCACAAAACCTCACACAGACATAGTCCACTTCCTGGAACGGTGGTGTTAACCCAGGAAGTGCAACCTTTGAACCACAAAGCGCTGAGTAGAAAGTAGTAAATGGCAGAGAGTAAAATTCTCATAACCACAGAAAGAGAGAAAATTGTTGTTTTGGGTGAATAGGATTTTATTACCAACATAAAATAACACATAAAAGCATTTATTACAGAGAGGGGGAAAAAGGATTTATTTGTGATGACTGATGGAACAAGTTGGACCAAGGCTGTTCCAGTCTTGGTCTGTCAGCAGTATGGGGACAAAATGCCACAGCTCCATCCACCTTCTTGTCTGAATTTATAATGTTTTATGTGTTTCTTTGCCTTTTAAGCACTGATTGAAGTATAAATGACTGAAGCAAACTCTCTTTTTTAATCATTTTTTACTTTGGCAAAAGACATGCAAGAGTGTGTGTTCTCCAGGATTTTGGTGGTTGCTTCTCCACCCAATTCAAATCACAGTCTTCCAATCCTCAGTGTGTTGGATCTTGATTTACTGAGTTGTTTATAGTATGTGCCACTTTCTATTAGCCAAGACAAAAAAAATGGTCTTCAAGTGTTTTGTAGGAATAACTGCAGTTGATGAATTTCCTCTTGTCTAACCAAAAGGAACTCTCTCACAGTAACAGTGTAATAGGTAACATTTTAAGACTCGCTTTGCAGCTCATATTTTCTCTTCTTAGTGAAACCCCATGCCTGTGTGCTTCCATTTTCAACTGCATAATAGAGGAGAGGATTTAACAAGCAGCTACAACTAAAATATATCAAACCAAAGAAAGAACACTTAAACTGCCAGGTCTCCTGCCATTAGTAATGCAGTGCCCCTTTAAATAAAACAAGCAGACTTGATATTTCTTTTACTTTTGTCATAAAGCTCTGGATACAGTGTCCTTACTTATTAGATCTACAAAGGTTTCCGACAGTACATACAACATGTTTCCTCTTGTTGTACATTGAGCCTTGTTGACATGTAACAAGCATTCATGCATGTTTCTGTGGAGACACTTGCACTGATGTGTACTAGGCTTAAATCCTGTGCCACATGTGTTTCTCAGGTTAGCTCTGTGGCTCCGCAGTGTCTTTCTCGCCGTGTCTGTAGCAGGATAATTGGCTCCAGTCAGTCTGTCACTCAGACCTGCAGCAGCTTTGACTGCAGAGCATGACAGTGTCACAAATACACCATTGCACTAGCTTCATTATGCTGAGGACAACATCTCCTTATACCTTAACGACTGAAAATGTTGTTTGCCAATGACTCCCAAAAATGATATATATTAGTGCTGGAGAGAACCAGAGTCACACGTGCCCACTGCTTATTGCAGTTTTAAACAGTAATTAACATTGTGAAACGATCACAGCCTACATGTTTAGGCTTAGAAAAAGATCATTGTTTGAGTTAAAATAAATACATTTGTTATGTAACTCGTAACACAAAGAGCAGTCACCTGGGTGAAAGTTCTGTGTTTGTTTGACCCATCCATCCACCCTAACCTTGTCTGTACGTGGACTTTGTTACTCCTTATACTACATCACCTGACCTTCTCCTTTGCTCCCATCCTTATTAATACAACTGCTAGAGGTCGTAGTGGTTGCAGTATTCATGATGGTAAACGTAAATGTAAATATGGGTCGTAATAGGCTGCTTGCGCAGATAACATACACAGCCGTTTAACAGGAGGATGGTCTGGCTGAGGAAGCCTTTCTATACTGTATACAATAAAAGAATATAAAGCATGCACATAATGTATGGAAATACACACACTCATGCTTATAAACACACATACACTCATCCAGCTGCACATAAGAGTATCTAAGGACTGGAGCTCTGACATAATTTACTGCCTCACTGCATTTAACATCCGCTTTCTCTTTTCCAGCTCTTCATCTTATCCGGTTTGGGCTGGAGTCACTGAATAGCATAAAACATTTCTGTCAGAGTGTCTTCAGCGTTTGAATTATGCGTGAGAGCCTGTGCCTCTGCTGTGTGTGTGTGTGTGTGTGTGTGTGTGTGTGTGTGTGTGTGCTAGTTCCAGAGTGTCGTGATTTCTCAAACCAGGTTGAAATGTGAAATTGCTGATTTTTATTTCAATTTTTAATTAGTACTTTAGAAAAAAAGACATGAAGTCCAACATTTCATGCTCGGTTTGCCATCTGCCCCAAAACTGGACTGCTGCTTGCAGAGAAATAGACAGTGGGAGATGAGTCTCCATATAACAAATCTCAGACCGTGTCATTTTACACCACAAACACAACCCTTCTTGTTTCTGCAAGGACAAGAAAGCGCTTTCTTTTATAGGTGAACTCCTCAGTCAAACAAAAGTCTGCTCATGATTTGAGCCTGTTTCTGCTGTCACTCCTGCTTGTTCAGGTCACAGCTCAATTATCTGACAAAGGCTGACTGAGTTCTTCTGTCTTCATTCCTGCAGGCACAGAAATCGTGGATAGAGAGAGCATTCAGCAAGAGAGAATGTGTTCATATCATAGTGAGCGCCAAAGACCCCCATAGGTAAGTAATGTGTGTGAATTAAATGGGAACAATCGCAGTGCATTACATTGTTGTGTATACAGGCACATTACATTACTCTTAATTCCAGATAGTTATCTTTGTTTTGAATTGTAGTAGAAGCAAGAAAGAAAGTACGTTAAAGTCTGAGAATTCTTTACTTTAAAGAGGTATTTAATTCAAGGATTCAGCTGTTTCATTGTTTGCTATAAAAGCTGCAAGACCTTAATGACTGAGTTTGCTGATGCGATGGCCCACCTCAGATTAAGAGCCCCGTTTCACTACTGACCTTTTAAAACATGCCTCAGAGTAATATCACGCTGGCCTCTATTTGCATCACAGTTAGATGTTCTCCACTAATGAGCCAAAATACTGACATTATACATTTTAAAACCTTCAATGTGAAATTCAGGGCTAGGCCAGTTCATGAGGAGTATAATCCACATTATTTTAAAAGGTTATTAATTTAAGCAACAGTCAAGAATGAGCCCACAGGTGCATACTGCTTTACACTTTTGCCATGTTCCTTTTATTCTGCACTGCATTGTCACTTTCACAGTGACATTATCAAAGTCTTTACTACAGCTGATGTTGTTGCTTTGGGTGACAAACTCAGAGAGGCAGCTCTAATTCCTGCAGTACCGGCCCTCGTACACACTCATACACACACAGGAAATGGCATCATTTGTTAGGTAAACAGGATTAGCATAACTGGAGGAAAGCGGGTGGAAGCCAGGAGCTGGGAGGAGGGGAAAGAGATGTTCCTCAAGATCAAATCAACTTTTCTCTTTTTAGTCAGAAACACTTGTGTTGACGTGGTAGGCAGAAGGAGGCAAAGTACCTTTGGTAAGAGATGACGGAAACATGAAGTGATAATCAAAGCCTCCCGACTCCCTTTCCTCCAAGGGCTCCCACTCCATCCTGTAAGGTTAAAACTTAGAATATGAAAGCTGCATTCAGTACATCTGAATAAGCATGTACTCATGTAGGAATACTGCAATTCGTATAACTGTCGTTCTGCTAACTCCTGTGGTTGCTGAGAGGGAGAAGGAGAGGAGAACACAAGGGAGCAGAAAAAACAAAAAGAGACAGAGCCAATAAAGGATTGCAGAGGCCTACAGACTCTTCTCCTCCTCTTCTCCCAATCAGGAGATGAAAGTCAGATGACAAGCTGTCACTTCCTCCATGCCCACCTCTTACTGCTAAGCACATGACTGTGGCTGCTCTCACGCTTTTTCCCTCCCTCTCTCAGTCACACACAATCTCTCCCTCTCTCTCTTCCTCCTCTTGATGCTACAGTTGCTTCTCTTGCAGCTTACAGACTGTGAAATATACCAATATTACCTTCGCTTTTACCTTTTCCTCTCATACAGGTGCTGTTGTGGTCGTCTGATAGGTCAGCATGTGGGCTTGCCGCCGGGCATCTCATCTAGTCAGAATGATAAGGCAGAACGATTGGCCAAGAATGACAGCCTGTCGGAGAAGTGGTCGATCAGCAAGCACACACAGCTCAGCCCCACTGATGCCTTCGGCACCATCGAGTTCCAGGGAGGAGGACACTCCAACAAAGCCATGGTGACTCCCATAACAAATCAACTGTGTTGCATTTTGTCAGTGTCCTACTGAAGCCCTGCGCCTCTGGATAGTTCCATGGCAAACAGGAACAGGACAACCTGACAGTTTTGACAGTCACAATCCAAACAACCAGGTGTCACCGTAAATGTGTGAGGTTTTGATCCCTGGTGGACGCGCTCCCTTGAATTATTAAGATTGGTTTGTGTCAGTGCGTATTGATTGTAAAAAGCCCTTTTCACACAGAGATTGTGCAGCAGCGTCACTACAAAGTCCCTTCATTACATTGCCCTTCTTTATATGGAACTAGAAGCAAAAGTGGCGTGAGGGAATGAAGTGTAACACAACAGCATTTGCTTCTAGTATGACATATAACATAAGCATCTGCAACACTTTCTAATCAATAACATGACAATAACAATAATTTATCGACCCTGTTATATGGCGGCTGATCGAACCCTCTGCTCAAAGGGCAAAGAGCTCCTGGATCTCATTGTCTCCTGAGTGTGCGGACATTTTTGGTTGCTGTTCTGCTTTTTAAGATAGCTTCTAACTGCTATCAGCTGCATCTTAAATCTGCCGGCGGTAGGTCGCACACATAACAGGTCATCAAAACGTCACACCTGTACCGATTGTGCTCCCATCCTGCCGGCTGTCCCTTTCACACAAATGTGAATTTGCCGCTGTTACTACCTTCTTTCCCCCCATTCCACAATCGTACATTTAATAGAACAGTACAGAATAGCGAGGCTGAATAACGGTGACATTTCCACCTTGGACAGGCAGTGTAAAAGGGGCTATAGATAGGAAACAAAGGAGTGGTCTTTGCTGAATATACTGTCAGAAGAGGACTGTATAAACTTCAGTAGAGGCAGTAGTGAAAGCTGAAAGTGCATAATAATTGGATGTGATCTGCAGATATTTTCCTCAGCTGCAGTAAACTGATGCAGTTTGACAGCACGCAGGTTCAGGGGAGGAAAGTGTTGGATGCTTGGCTGATGGCACAGTTATTCCAGCACAGTGAAAATGGTTGAATATCCCAATGATTGCTAATTTTTTTTTGACAATGAATACATTTCATACATAGTCCACATGGAAATGACATGTAATGAGGACTCATCTGAAGTCTTTGTATACCTTTCCTACATCCCATTTCTCCTCACATTACACTGTAGCTGGTGAAATGATCAAATTTAAATGCATCACACATATGCAACAAAGTTCATCATATCAGGATGGAGCAAAATCAATCAAATGAGTGTAATTATTATGTAATTACACATAATTATTGATTTAAAAAGACTTAAGCGTCTAGAGACTGCTGCACATCAAATTTTGTCTGATTAATCAATCTGTCCTAAAAGTAGTCTGATTGTATGCGTCATTCACACAATCACCATGGTGACAGGATCACATCACACTTACTGTATTCAGGGAATTCAGCTTTTAAGGCTGAAATATGTCTGATGTATTCCCAGTGCTAAATAATTCATGCAGACACATGTCAGGTTGGGTGTCTGAGGGGGATTTAGATAGATAAACAGATGCTCTATAATGCATGTGCTCTTCCAATCGCAGCAAACATCTGTTCAATACTGTTGTAGGCCTGCAGCACTGATCCATGTGAATGTGATGTTTATCCATTTTATACTTTTACCTTTACAGATATTTTTTTAAATGGAAAGCTTTTATAACATGTAGTATGTGCATATATTTGTATTCATGTCTCAGGCATATGTAGACTTGTCTTCATGTGCCTGAGGGTTATGCCAATGTGTTATACATCACTGACACATATCCCACTGTTTTCAGTACGTGCGAGTGTCTTATGACACCAAGCCTGACCTGCTGCTCCACCTGATGACCAAGGAGTGGCAGCTGGATCTGCCTAAGCTGCTCATCTCAGTCCACGGGGGCCTGCAGAACTTTGAATTACAGCCCAAACTCAAACAGGTCTTTGGCAAAGGGCTCATCAAGGCTGCCATGACAACAGGGGCCTGGATCTTCACCGGTGGGGTCAATACAGGTGAAGTACAGTACACACACACAGCTTTACTATCAAAGATCATGCTACGTTTGCTTGAATGTGTAAAGAATATTTCATTCAGATGTCTCATCAGCAATGTTCAGCTTCACTTCTTTTTATACAAAATGAGTGGCTATGCACTTTTCCTCGGAGTATGATGAGTGTGTTAAAATGTTCTTCATAAGTTATCAGCTATTAAATAACCATTTATCAAGCCCCTCAGGGCGCTAAGATGTTGAAGTATTAGATCTCTGCAAAAGGGTTCTTTAAAGTACGTTATGAGCTCTCCACTATACTTACAGACACTCACGGTTAGACAAGACAGGTGAAGGGTAACTCTCTGAGAGTGTGCAGGAATCTACTCTGCTTATTTTTATCACTGAAAGTGAATGAAAAAGGGTGTGACCATCAGACCAAAGGGTGTATTTCATTTTTTTTTACACAAACCATGTTCAAATCAGGGAAGACGATTATTATTTTATTAGATGCTTTACAGAAATGATTGAGGAGGCAATTAGGGCTTATCATATACGTTTCAATGAGTGGTATTACATTGAAAACAATATAAGAATTTTTCTGTTCGTGTTTTGAAGACTTGAGGTTGTGGAGAAGAGAGGCTTATGACTCTGATGACTAAGGAGATCTCTTTTCAGAGATACTGAGTAGCTGGATGGATTTGGCCTGAAGCAGGATTTATGAGGAGCTCAGTCAACCGGATCTTGGGCATAAGAGGTGGAGGATTGGAAGTGTTGAGACAGTGCAGAAAGAAACAGTGTCAGAGTCAAACAGCAACAAGATGATCGCGTAACAGTATTTGTGCCAAAATACAATTGGTAGAAATAGGAAAAGTCAGCTGATGGAGTGTAAACATGGCGTTGTCATGCATATGTTAAGTTGTCTCTGTGAGTTTGTTTCTGATCTTGGAAAGCTATGGATAGCAGTATGAAATCTTAACATTGGTAAATGCTTTGCTACTTGTGTTTCTTAGGGATGGGAAGTGATAGGATTTGATTGATATCAATGCCATTATCAGTTCTGCTTATCGGTCCAATTCTTTATCAATTCCCTTATTGAGTCCTGATCATCAAAAATACGCCTACATAGGTTTTCAGCATTGTTGCAATTGCCTTATTATCTCTGAGTCTGAGCACAGAGTAGAAACAGAGTAGACTTTCAGTCTCTCTGTCATCTAAAATAGATAAAATGAAAGACTATTGTACAGCATTAGTTTTCATTTAGGTTTTCTCACTGAAAGAGAAAATCTGCTAAGCCTGGCTGTGCAGAACTAATGTTATTACAACAGAGAATATTTACCCTCTGTAAGGGATGTGCTGCTTGCCGAAAAGCAGCGGCACTCGTGCGTAGAATTTATGCCTATGTCAGGTAGAAGGATGTTTCAGCATATTGCTGGTGCTTCCACCCTTACTTGAATTTATAATATTACAGACATTACCAAGCAGCAGCATCTGGGGCTGAAAAATGAAGCCAACACAAACGTGCCAAAAAACGCAGTTTTTTAAATGTTCACTTGAGGCTGGCTGCAGAAGCCAATCCCCATAGACCCCCATGTTCAAATGCTGTCTGTTGATCGTGTCCTTGGCTCCTCAGTCAGATCCACCCCTCACTCAACCACAGCTCCAGCCTCTCACCCAAATATGGTTTCTTCTGACTCCTTAAAACGGGAATGGGAGTCACAAACCAGTGGGTGAGTTCATGGTAGCTCGGTACATTATAGGTACAGTCTATGGATGTCACAAACAGAATTCTTGTCGTCTGTCTTTGTGAAATGAAGCCACACTCTGGACTGTTTCTTCCTCTCCGACATGACCCCTTCTTGTTGCAAGTTTCCAGCAGTGTAGATGCAAGAGTTTCACATCATTGTTTCGCAATGTGCAGCTGTCAGAAAAACACGCAGCCATTGATAAAACTGATAAGCTCAGAGGCATATGATTCCAATGGTTTGGACAATGTGGAACAAGTTTTAAACTATAACTGATTCACAATTCCCATTCCTACTGTTTCACATACAGCTGTCAGTGTAGTATCTTGACTGTTGATATAAATGATGCATGGATATTAAAATTCATGACCATGTTGCAAAATGAATATGTCTTTATAAACTGTGAATGGCATGGACCTCATATTTGTTTCTTAATTTTACCTTTGGTCTTCTTATCAGTGCTGTTTGATGTTGTTTGTTCACTGTTTGTATTGATCTTGTACCTTTTCTTGGTCTACAAAGAGAAAAGCATTTTTAGTAACAGATTAAATTTAGCAGGCCTTAAATAAGAACAAAGATGAGGAAACATTTTTGATAGGAGAGATAAGAACAGATGGAAAAAATGATGCAGCGTTGGAAGCTGTGGAGGGCTCACACTTGAATACGGAAAGGATTAGAAAGTAAGATTTAGTGACACAATGGGTTCAGAGGCAAGAAAGAGGAAGAGAGAGGCCTGAATAATGGATGGAGGGATGGATTGGAGGGACAGTTGAGAGTGTAGGTAAAGAGAGAATGAATGTCAGCAGGATAGACGGGATAAGATGGCCTCAAGGTCTGACTGCTGCTCCCCCGAGGACAACAACTCGAGGCCTGGAGCTACAACCTGTCTGTGTTTGAAACCGTGTGTGCATTCATATTGGCTTCCACGCTGTTGTCTGCTGCGCCTCACAGATCCTGTTTATCTTTCACAGCAGAGTGTGTCATTATCTAAGTTTGCACTGTGCATTGATCGTGACAAAACTGATATGGTTATCTGTCCTTCTCTCAAACACACTTAAACATTTATGCAAACACACACACACAGGAGTGATTCGCCATGTGGGTGATGCATTGAAAGACCACGCCTCCAAGTCAAGGGGGAAGATCTGCACCATTGGCATTGCTCCGTGGGGCATCGTAGAAAATCAAGAGGACCTTGTTGGCAAAGATGTAAGTCTCTGAGAACAAACAAATAGAACAACCATTTATGTGTGTGTGTATGTGAGAAATGTCACAAGCAGTCAACAGTTGCCAAACCCTGTAAATTGCCGTTGACAGTTTATTAACTGAAACACTATGTGAGCCAATCCAGTCTGTGAAAAACACTCCTCCAGTGCTAGTTGGACAGCTGGCACAACCACATGAGACTGCGGAGCACATGCTGACTCATTCAATTCTCTGGAATCAATGTTATGTTATAGTTAAAGTTTTATCAGAATGTGCTGCACTCTGTCCCACTGAACAAGTCAAGCAGAACAGATTAATGTTGGTAGCTGAAATGAGATTATTAAGTGCTGAAGCTCTTTTTCCATGCTTGATTGGTCTCAACTGTACGCCTAATGACCAGATGAGTTTACTTCAGACTGTCAGGCGCTGCTCCACTAGACCAAATCCAAGCTTCTGAGAAACTGCCATTAATGTTGTATAGATATTCATCCAGTATTTTAGTGTCACTTTCTGTAACATTAATAATAATTAATGATGCAAGTGCAGTGGCTATTGAAACTACATGAATGAATACAGTCTTTTACTTTTCTGTAATTTTTTTTTTAGAACCAAACAAACATGTTTCATCACTTTGACAAAAGCTTAATGCTTAAACACTGATGTCTTAAAGGTCCAGTGTGTAGGATTTAGGGGGATGTGTTGGCAGAAATGGAATATAATATGTTTTATTTCGTGAAAAATCACCTGAAACTAAGAATCATTGTGTTTTCCTTACCTTAAAATGAAAATCTACATATGAAAGGGTCCTCTTCCACTGAGTCCGTCATGGTACTCTGCCATGTTTCTTTCATACCACACCATAGTTAGCAGCCTGTCCACAATGAACTGAACAGCGTCGGAGAAACACTGATTTCTGAAGCTGCTTTATTCAGCATTTTTAGAGGTATAAATCCCTGTTTGTTTTGGAGAGGAAGAGACCTCTGTGGATACTTTGGCACGCAGGAAAAACCTCCTGAGCAATGAGCACCGAAAGAATCCTAGCCAGGAGTTCACACTTGGAACATGGCATTAGTTATAGCCAGTTGAAATCTGCAATCCTCACTGCTAGATGCCACAAAACTATACACTGCTAGTTTAAAGGCTCACTTCAGTGATTTCCATAAAGTTGGACGACTGACAAGAGGCAGATTTTATAAACAGTTGTCTAAATCGGTGCAGCAGAGGCAGAAATATTCTGACTAGTCCATCATATATGTCAAGCCCTGAAATGATGGATCCTATGTCTCCCATCATACAGCAGTGCCATCTCTTCATTAGTTTCTCTCTGCTCATGCCTTTCAACTCTTTGCCCCAGTTTGTGACACGGGCTTGCCATTAAAGATTTGTAGCCCCCAAGTCAAGATAATCCCTGATGACATCATTAGGGTTGTGTGTTAAAACTGTAGCACCACAGAGGACATTATACTCCCCGTGACAAGTAAATTGAACTTGAGGTGTAAAACCAGTGGGGTGTTTTTTTAACGAGTGCAATCCATAATCTGTGTCAAATTATCTTTGCCTACACTTGGGTTACATTAATGGCACAAAGAAAACAAGCGCCTGTGTTATCATTAAACCATACATTGTTCAAGTTTTCACATACTGCTGTCAGCTGTGGGCTTCTCAGATGTTTGTGTAACAGTTAAATCTTCTCTTGGATAGGTGGTGCGTCCATACCAGACCATGTCCAACCCCATGAGCAAGTTGACTGTTCTGAACAGCCTCCACTCCCACTTCATCCTGGCAGACAATGGCACAACGGGAAAGTATGGCGCTGAGGTCAAACTGCGACGTCAATTGGAGAAACACATCTCGCTGCAGAAGATCAACACACGTAAGTTGGCATTCACTGTATCTGCCTGTAGTGGCTATTGCCAGTGTGACCTACTTACCCTTAATTAGAGGAGGTGTTTTTAAATGACACAGCGAGCAATAACAGTATAATGAAACTGTAATCCTTGTTTTATCGACGACACCACCGTGGGTTAATTGGGTTCAGACTCTATTTTATAGCTGCAACCAGACTAAAATTATCATTACCTGCTTTATACTGCACACATGCTGTCAGACGGTGTATTTTTAGCCAGCTGTGATATAACTCGATGAGCCTTTGAAACCGTCCCTCCCTTCAGGAGGGGTTTATTTTTTTCCTTCAAAGCTTCCTGACAGCTCAGATGAACTCTTTCCTGAAATGAACCCGTTTGATAATTCTTGTCTCCTTGTTTTGGGATGCTGCACAAAGCTACCAAACAAGCTGACAAACACAGACATAATGACCAGTGCAAAACCTCTGTACACGTACATACACACATACTGTATATCCCACTCTGCAGACACAACCAGTACATTAGGTTTTACATATGCACACACCCAAAGGAATGAAAGATGGATTAGATGTTTGTATTTTTGTAGCATTTTATATCTATATTTGGCACTTGATAGTACAAACAAATCAAAAATAGTACATGGGATGTATTTTAAACCACACCACAGACGTCAGGATGGCCTAATTTTTGTGCATTGTCATATATCTTGGCAGACACATAATAACAGGATGAAATACTGTATTGCGTATTTCCGCGCAACCCTCCCTGTCTTCATTTGAAAACTTGTTGAATCAAAGGTACATTATGCTCATAAAAGGGCGGCAAGAGTACATTTGAATTCTTGTTTGTGTGAGACAATGGTGTGCGTGCCTGCCTGTATATTAATGCGTGTGTGTGTGTGTGAAGTGTTCATCCACCGTTGAGCCCTTGTCACATTGCATTTCTCCGTTTTCAGTTTTCCACATTATACCTCAGCTAGAAACCAAATGGATTTGCATGAATACAAAATGCATTTCTCTTTCTTTTTTCTCTCTTACTCTCTCCCTCTCTTTCTCTGTGTCGCACACAAACAAAGACACAAGCGCACACAAACCTCCCTGGTACCCTTTAAATGCATTTCTCAATAGCCTCTAACAGCATTGTTTAGAATGTGTCAGAGCTGCGAACAAACCTGAGTAAGAGGAATTTGTTTGCGGCCATGATTTATTTGTTATTACCTTCTTTTGTTGTCAGTATAAAACCATTTTGAAATAATTTCCTCAGGGTGTGTGTGACATAAATGCACACATTTTAACATCAATGCTTGTTTAAAAACTGAAGCTGGCAGGAGATAGACGTTACCAAATGGATACATGGTTACAGTGTCGAGAGCAATATCGTGACTCAGATCTTACCTTTGTCATCACCATTTTTATTCAGTGTCAGACCTGTCACTGGTGTTCACTGTCAGGGACTTTATAAGGATATTGTAACCACCACCATATTCCTCCTAAACCCTTCACTTCAGGGGTTTAAGAAATGTTCCTGGGGTTGACAGGATACACAGATGTACTTCCTCCTTGTTCATCGTCCAGTCATGTGACCTATGGACTTCCCTTTGTCATCCTATGCCTGGACTCATACAAAAGGGGCTGGGAAGGCAAAGGGACGCCCAGTCGTCATACAAGCATCTGACTGACATTATCCATGATGATGGTAATGTACTGTGCCATCCCTAATTCATCCATCATCTAACTAGCTTTAACACATATTTGGATCCAGCACTTATACTAGCTAGGATCTACTCATAAAACAAGCCGATAGGTGACCATGTGTGCTGTACTGCTGACCACCCATAACACAGAGCTATCACTCAGCAGTGTCTGAGGTTACAGTGATAACCAGCTTCAACTTCATGACCTTGTGACCTTGTCTTTTAAGGTGAAGTGTTGTATCAGCCAAAAGTGATCCATAGTCCTTGTACAAATTGTTCTAATAACTGCTTTTTAAGCATGACCTGATTTATATATATGAGTCATGTGAAGAGCATTATTTGCATCATCCAAGAAAGTTACCCTTTTTTTTGTTTGTTTGTTTAGGCTCTGTTTTAAATAAAATTGATAACACATGATAAGGGCAGCACGGTGGTGTAGTGGTTAGCACTATCGCCTCACAGCAAGAGGGTTCCTGGTTCAATCCCAGGAGGAAGCCCGTCTGTGCAGAGTTTGCATGTTCTCCCCGGTACTCCGGCTTCCTCCCACAGTTCAAAGACATGCAGGTTAATTGGTGACTCTAAATTGCCCGTAGGTGTGAATGTGAGTGTGAATGGTTGTCTGTCTCTATGTGTCACCCCTGCAATAGTCTGGCGACCTGTCCATGGTGTACCCTGCCCCCCCGTGCCCCTTAAGAGGATAAGCGGTTTTGAAAATAAATGGATGATAAATCTGCAGTAGCTATTGTCGTTCAGTATTTCAGAATTATGTAATTGGTAGATTTACAAAACCTAAACATTATCACCCTATTGGTTATAACCACCTGTTGAATATATAAATATATAATTCTTAAATTTGTTTAAGAATTGTCCAGGATTGAAAAAAAAATAATAAAAAAATCTTAATGGTCACACACACACAACACATTCACTCTCACAACTCATCAAATACGGACCCATGGTCATTGGCCCTACATGTCAAGATATGATGCGCTAGGTACCCCCGTTGTGTCCGTTTCGGACGCTTACAGACGGCATGTAATGCTTGTTACATGCAAAGTGTCTTTTCAAAATAAAAGTCTGTTTTCACAGTAAATGCTGCTTGTTAGATGCATACAGTCAAAAATATCAAACTGCTGCCTGGTGCGTCTTCAAGTGCTGCTAAAGGTGCCTTTGTGCATCGCTGTCTGACACTGTGGGCCACTGACGCCAAGGACCACTGGCCAAGCATCTGCATTTGATGAGTTGGGAGTGAGACCAGGTTGGTGTCCTGAAGTTCTGCATGTAAGCGAAGGGACACTTTTACTCCCAAAATAAGTTAACATACACCTAGAGAAGTTAAACAAGCTGGTTTTTCAATAGCTTGTTGAATGTTGCTACAGTTTCATTTGCACAGATTTTCAGGTAAATGTCCACCCCAGTGTGTGATTACTGTACATGTGTGTATAATGCACTGTAATTTGTTGTGCATACACACATGCATCCCTCACTTCCACATTCACCTCTGACGGGTTGGCAGACAATGACCATTTTGTGATTTGATTACCAGTCCGCGGTCAATCCAAGAGAGCATCAATTTTCCTCACAGCAGGGCTCCTGTGGGATCCAAGAGTAGCCTGAGGCCCAGTAAAGGAAAGGAAGATAGAGAAAGTAAAAAGGGAAAAAAGGCAGTTTAGTTTAAATGGCCTAACATGTGGGTTGTAGACCACACGTAACACACAGTCACACACACACACTGCACACAAACACAAGATGAAAGAAGTGTGGTGGATAGATATGCGTAATCTCCCCCTGTGGTATTTTTGTGATGTCTGGGCAATCCTGTAGCTAATCCTACTGTGCCTGTGTGCGATTTTCCATGCAACGGCTATCACCATGTGAGTGCCGGAAATGCTGTAGCAATCAAATTGGCTCCACAATATTGTACCACAGATTTTAAATATACGAATTGATTTTTTATAACATATGTATATGTGTGTGTGTTTTGGCCTGACTACGCTCTAAATATAGCTTTGATATTGCAAACAGTGTTTAAACAAATCTTCGAGGTCATGATGCATTTTCATTTTCTCTTGCCAAAAGATATTTGTGGTCATTTTGCACATTTCCCTTTCTAGTTATGGCAGCACCATTGGCACCTGTCAAAACTCATCATTAGAGCAGGAGCACAGTTGGGCAGTTCCTAAACCTCTTAACACCACACCACCCTTGGTGACAAGTGTATACTCCCTCTGCATACTTTCCCCACCAGTCTCTGCTGTATATTCAATGTTGTGGAAGGCGTCGCCTCCTGTGGTTTTGTGCCCTCTTCAGTGAAAAGTGGACAAGAATATCTAAGATACAGCCCTGGTTGGGGGTAAACAAAATAAATGGCATAAGACAGACAACTGGGCTGGGGAAGCTGTAAATATGGTGGTTGGAGCCAGTGCATTCACACGCTAGAGTAAATGCTCAGCAGTGTTGTGCCCTGCCGTACATGCATGGCTCTCTCTCTCGTGATATGTTCAGCCAGATGTGGTCTAGTTTGATAAAACATGGAAAAAGATTCAGATGCAAATGAGCCTGGATAACCGTGACAAGAAGTCAGCTTAGGCAGCACAAGACACTTGACATGCAAGCAGAGGGACAGAGCTTATGACTAGTGATCGTGAACATTGCCTGATAATATGTTCAATTTAAGTTTATTTCAGACTTATAGGTGCATATACAAAGTTTTGATTTGAAAAAATAATCTTAAATCTTAATCTTTGGCATGATCTCTTGTCCAGAACCTAGTGTGGCACCTCATCATCTGGATGTATTGTATACTGTTTTGAAAAACATATTGCTCATCCTGACACGCTCTCTTTTAGTTTCTGAGGTCACGCACACAGGGACATATTTCCTATTTAACTCCTCCTTACCATCGCCTGAAGCTAGGAGACATTGTCAAACTCAAAGATGAAGAAAATCAATGAAATGATTGGCACCATTCAGCTCGGCTCACTCAACCACTGCACGGCTCTTTTGACATGTCTCCATGTGGCTATAATGCTTTTTAATCACACACCTGCCTCAGAGGGATGACAAGTGAAAGAGGAAGAAAGGAGAGTGTGAAAATGAAGACAGAGAAAAGGGAGTGAGGGTGAGCAGAGAGGAAAGAGAATTATGTGAAGCGCGAAGAAAGTGTGATGCAGCTGCGGAGGATGCAGGCAGTTAGACGGGATATTGCCTTGAGGTTTCCTCGCTGAAAAAGCAGGATGAAACAGTGAAAAGGCAGCAGGAGAAAGGACATAATAAGATTCATTCACAAATGTTTTCGTATATTCGTTCTCAAAA